AAGCAATAGAAACCATGCAACATGCTATAATTCTATTTTTGTAACATCTCTCAATGAGCAAACAGGTGAGTCCTCCTCTGGCCCACTTCTCTGAATTGCTGCAAGAAGTTTACTTTCTGGACCATTGCAAATTCTATAAAAAAGACTACTTTGAGATAAGTGGACTGAAAAAAAAAAGGAAGAGAGCAATTTTCAAACACAAGCCTTAATCAACATCTCAGGTCTGACTACTTCTATCACCAGAACTTCTAAAAGACTAAGTCAAAAAACAAGTAGAGGATCTTGCAAGCCTTGCCTGTGGGAGTAAGGCACGATGGCTGGCAAACTCTGCCTTTTGATTAATTCCTTGTTTTTTTTCCCCTGGGTCTTTTAGATGAATAAAAGCCCTCTTCCTTATGTTTCCCAAAAGCACACGAAGGGTGGTGAGCCCCATGCCCATGCTGTTACAGTGCAGCTTGGGTAAAAGTGCCAGAGGGACATTACGCAAGACTCTGGTCATACAAGTCAGTGTTTCTGCCTGCTGAACAAAAAAATTCCTAAAATGAGCTGTCTAGAGGGACACAGAAGACTGAAAACCATCTTATAGATGATGCTGGGCTACCACTGCCTGTTCAAAAGGTGGAGATTTGCCCTGCTGCTGCCAGTAACTCGGCAGGTGGGAGATCACTCACTTTACAAGAATCCTGCAAGTTGCTTAGTAGGAGGAGGCTGGGAGCAGGTGAGGGGGGACACAAAAGACATGAAAAGCAGAACCTGGTAACTATATCACATCAACAGGAGATGCAGAGAAGCTGGTTAACAGACCAGCTTCACTACAAACCAAAAGTGGATTCTCTCAATTTTTAACGGCCAAGGATTTCACCACCTTTAACAAATTTAACCCTGCTTACAGAAACACAGCAACCAGCTCCCAGAGATCAGCTCTGGAATACTAAAGTTGAGATCTGCAGTGGTGTTTCTGCTCCAACAGATAAGAGCTCCTATCAGACAAGAAGTCCTACCAGACAACAGAGTAACTGCAATCAACAACAAAAAGAACAGCTTCTTGACACCAATTAATTATACAGAACTAAACCACACCTCTATGGAAGAAGATACTCCATGTATCAACTCACTGAAGACATCTAAAGATTATTTTTTTGCAAAGACCTTAATTCTTTTAAATAAAAATATAAACTTACTTTGTACCTCAGGAATGGATCCTGATCCAACCTTGGAACCACTCCAATGATCAACATTAAGTTATTTGCTCCTACTTCCAAGGCAGAACAAGAAGTTGAAGGGCAGCAAAGTAACTCCTGTGACACCTCTCTGCATCATTAGTCCTCAGCTACCAACAGGAGATGGATGAGAAGGTGCTTAATGATAAACCAGCCTGTACCTCTGTGAAGCTCTGCAGAAAGGTAACAAAGCCCTAACAAATCTTCCTTTTGCTATTGGATTCAAGAGATACTGTTTCAAACACATTAGATCTACTCCTAGTCCATCTCTTAATTAGGCTGCACAAAGCAACACCAAATTTGAATTCCAACAGGTCATTTCCTACCTTGCCAAGCTGCATTACTTGGCAGAGAAGTGACGCAATAAGTCATCATTACTCAAGAAAATGAAATTCTACTTATTCATATGGCCTTCAGCATATCACATTATGTAATTTGGAGATTCCTATGCCATGTGACATAGATTTGTATGTATTTCTCTTTCTTTCTGTATTGGTTCTAAATGAGCATCTTAAAAATCTTGAAAACAAATATAAAATCCAAGTTCATTAACATCTTTGACTTCTTTTTAAGCTCGTCATTCCGAATTACCATCCTGAGACGTGCAAGTGTTACTCTCCCCCTCACACTGTGAGATACAGGAGAAAGGGCAAGTCACACAATGTAACTAAATCCACCAAATGTTGACAAATTCAACAGGCTTGGAGTGGGGGTTTTGATACTATGTTCCAAACCAAACAAAAACAACAACAAAACCAGCTACTACATTTGGTCTTATTTGTTTGTGAAGTAATATACAAGAATGTTCTCTTTTAAAAAAGATTGCCTCGCAGATTAACATTTCTGAAAGTGTAAGACAAAAAGGAGATTTTTTTTATTTTTTTATCTCATCCTTTAAGGTCACTAAATTCAGACCATCTGGATAATAAAGTTACCAACTTAGTTCCCTATTTATCTAATTAAAACTTCTGTAGAGCTCATATGGAAAAATTTGTCTACTGCTAAAAAACAACTGAAGTGTAAAAAGCAGCTGCAGGGAAATGATGTCACTCGTGGAGCGTTACCACGGGCAGAGCCAGCTGACAGCGCATCGGCACCAGGAAGGTCCTGATTTATTGTTAATCTTGTCTTTTGAGCCAAATAATCTATTCAAAAAAAAAAAAAAAAAAAAAGCAACCAACCAACAAGCCACAACCAAAATTACATGGACCTTTCAGGCAAATCCTACTCTCACTGAAACATCGCTGGTGGATTTTCAGCAAGATCATGACGTCAAGCCTGGTATTTTGTACTAATTTATTTATACAGAACTGGCTCACTTTCATTAGTAAGGATAAAAGGATGAATCTTTAGCTGCTTTCACCCACCAAAACCACAAGCAGAACAACCATGCAAAACAGTTTCTCTTCTCCCATGCACAGAGAGATTCAAAGGGGACTTGGTTTTGCTCATTTTGGCTGTTGCATGTGTATGTGGGTGATGAGAAGACAGGCCACCGTTCCATTCCAGCAGGTAGCTCAGATACACACAACCACCACCTTCAATGCACAATTCTGTCACCAAAAGACACTTGTTGCCAGGTTTTACTTTTCATTCACAAGCCAGTTAAGCGTATGTTCTCTTAGCTTTTTGCACTACAGGGTCATGCTTGGTGCCAGTTGGGCCACAGGTGACCACAGAGAAGGTGTCCTCCCTCTGTCCAGGAGACCCTCCTTCAAGAGGGACCAGGGGACAAGATACATCTTTTGCCATCCCAGGGGAAATGGCCTCAAGTTGCGCCAGGGTAGGTTCAGGCTGGATATTAGGAAAAATTTTTTCACTGAAAGGGTTATCAGCCATTGGAATGGGCTGCCCAGGGAGGTGGTTGAGGCACCATCCCTGGAGGTGTTCAAAAGACGGGTTGATGTAGTGCTGGGAGGTATGGTTTAGTGATGATGCTCCTTGTTTGTTGTGTGGGTGTCTATTTTTGTCAGTTAGGTTGACGGTTGGACAAGATGATCTTTAAGATCCCTTCCAACCTAGAAGATTCTGTGATTCTGTGACAAGGATTCAGGTTGAAGTCCTTCACGTGAAGTTCCATAGCAATGCTCCAGCAGGTTACAGAGCTGCACACAAGTCCCACGACAAGCCAGCTCTTCATCTGTAATAACTGAGCATCAACCTCTCGGCTGCAGCCTCTGCTGCAGTTTGTCCCTCAGAAATGAAGGGCTGCCTCCCCTCTGCTCTCGTGTAAAGAGGCAATTGTAAAATGAACAATATCAACAACCACTAATGCTTCTTCAAGACATTACACTCCTCCCTTAAATGGTAAAATACCATCAGAAAATAAGCACTTTCATACAAGTTTTCAAAGAGGTTTAAAAAAAAAAACCCTAAAACTCACATCACAACACATTGGGTTGAAAGGATGCAAAAATCTAACCTATGCTTAGTTCACTAAGTGCACTACAAACAAAAGCCCCCTATTTCATAGCACCTACACATCTTCTGGATGTGAATTATAACTATGGTGTCATAACCTGGAAAGAAGTTTAACAAATCATTATGCACAAATGTTGTAGCTCTCCCCAGTCAATTCTGAGCTCCCTGCTACAGGCACATGCACACATGCTCAAAGTATATAATATTTGATTTTTAATGGAAATATATATATTAAAAAAATTCAACTGTCACCTTTTCATTCCTAGATCATAGACCATATTTGAGTACGATTCCGCTGTCCCAATTAAGTATTAGTTTTGGTGCTGTCAAGACTATCCCAGAATGCAGATTCAATACATAAAAGCACCCTACATTTCCTCCGTAAACCCGTCACACCGACTGCCTCGAAATCCTGAGCCCGCAAGTCTATTTTAAAACATAACCTTTGAATAGGTATCATTGATATATAACAGGGATGAGCAAACCCCAAGCGTTTTGTAACCAAGCTCAATTAATTTATCTGGTAAGAACAACGCTTAACGACTGAAAGCGGTTACTAAACATGACACTGTAATAAAAAGATTTAGCAACAGCAATGCAAACAGGTAACTCTTCAAACTTAATGAAAATTTTATTTTCATGAAATATATCAGCAAACTTCTCCAAAACGTTTTTGCATTCAGACATTTCACGTCGCTTTACTCCACTCAGACTTACTCAGCGCACGAAATTATCTCTTCCCTTATTGCTGTTCACGTTTTCCTTCCAAGTAATTAGCAATCTACATCCCCTTTGACAGAGGGATACTAACAAGCTCCTTCACTATCCAGTAGGACAAGGAATCCAAAGCTGCTAATAGCAAACAAGTCATTTAAGCAAAAAAAGGATTACGGAGGCTCGTTGCAAGAGGCTGGAAACTCACCCGTACTTCAAATTAAGACTTTCTGAGGAGCTCTTTTGTAATGAGTTTTGACTCCATTTTACAAAAATACTTCATTGTTTTCTCTTAAAAATCAAAATATTGATTTGAATATACGTTATAATTTCTTCGTTTTGAAAATAACGACGGAATAGAAAGGCAGAGAAGCGTTTTCCAAAAGGAAAAAAGACGGATATATTAGTTTTGTAACAAAACCTCAACGTTTAAAGAAAACAAAAAGTCACACAAACTTTTTTTTAAAAGAAGGTTTTCTGTTCTTCGCTACCAGGACACCAAAACGAGCTGCAAATCAAGCTGGAGCGCAGCTTCCTCACAAAATTTAATTGCCAAAACCCCCTATAACCAAGTTCCTCTTAAATAAAGTACATTTTAGATGAGCGAGAGCTCTTTGACAGAGAGGCAGAGAGAGCCGGACGTACCTTGAGGACCTCCATGGGTACCTGGGTGGCGGGGGGCAGGCTGGTGGGGACGCTGACGTTGATGGCAGGTGTCTGGCTGACGGGCACTCGCTGCTGCATGAACTGGGCTGCCTGCTGCTTCTGCTGCTGCTCCCGCCGCTCCTGCTCCTGCATCTGCTCACGCATGAGCTGCTGGCGTAGCAGGATTCGTGAGGTCATGCTGGAGGAGCTTAAGGGAGGCTTGGAAGCGCCAGGATGCTCGGAATTGCTGCAGGAAGACCAAAAAAAGAGACAGCTCAGCTTCCAGGAGCGGGATGGCGGCTCCAGCGGTCGGAGCTCCTGGAATTCCAGGGGAACATGGGGCAGGATGGGTGAGGATACGCCACACCATGCGAGGGGGAATTCGGAGCCGACCTACTTCAGGTACTTAACAGCCACATTAGGCTGCCTTAACTTGGCTCCAGCCAACCATTTCCAAACGCCAAGACCCAGCTGTAAGGAGCTATTTGCCATTTCAATTTTACAACAACCAGCCACCAGAAAAACAAGCGCTTTCATAGATAGCAGCAGGTACTCATATTCCTTTTATATTAATAAGTAACAAAGGGCTGTATCAAGTCTAATGATAGGAACAGACAACACTGCAGGTCTAATCATATAGCGCAAAAATAAATAAATCGGCAAAATAAAACTACCTACCCCATTAAAGCACAGCATAACAAATTTCAGTTATTTTCTGCAAAATACTACCTTGGGGTTGGATTTGCTGGGGTTGACACCCTTCATAGCTAGAAACCAGCTCCCCCCCCAAAAAAACACCCCAACTCCCACTTCAGGCCTACCAGCATCTTCTGAGTGCAGTGAGATACAAGAACAGGCAGAATAAACAATGATAATGACTTTATTTCAGCCACACTTTATAAAGTGCATCAGGCTGGCCCAAGCCAGCACACAGCACTTCTTGACCACTACAGAGCCATTTCTAAGCCATTGGACAACAGAGCTTCCTACCAGCCAACATGGGACAAACCAGAGGGCTTTGCCATGGACTACAGGGACACTTGCTGAAGCAACCCATCATTTTGTTAGCCCTCAGAAGTAAAATCCATTTATAAGCCATTTTTATAGCATAAGGCAGAACAATTAGAATATGCAAACATCAATATGCACATCCTTTGTGGGAAGGATGTGAAATGCGTAAGAATACACGACTCTATATATGAAAGAGCTACAGGGCATATAATTCAGGATATTTGGGTTGTGATTCCACCTGCTGCAGCTGATTGCTGTCAGCCCGTGGAAGTAAAGGGCTTGTTAGTCTATAACGATGCAGGTCCATGCCTGGGGAAGTCAGAAGTCACCTTCCTGCTCCAGGAGGAGACTGAAAAAGCCACCTCTGGCTCCAGTGCTACCTGCAGGATGCTGATGGGACAAAGGCACCCAGGAGCCAGCATCCCTTCCAGGTCTTCCCTGGAGTCTGCGGACACAGAGAGCTACTTGTGCTTGGGCAACTGGAGCCAGAGCTGCTGGAAGTGTTCTGTCTTTGTTTAGGAGTGATGTTGAAAACAGTTCAGAGTAGAAACAAAGAAGGAGAACCCACACTTACTCCCTCAAGAGATCAAACTCCGCTTTTCCAGAGCACACATTTTGGGGGCAGGGAGGGAGGGGACCATCTTGCTATTTAAGACCTGTCAGGTTGAAACATTCACAGAGACACTGATCCTTTTGATAAAACAAGAGAAAACCTTTGTGGTGAAACTAATGCAGCTGTGGAATAATCGCACTAATTAGCTGCTCAAGACAAGTCATTGACTGTGATACTTGTAAAAAAACACCACCCTTTCAATTAAGGGCGAAGCATTCTCACATCTAAACCCAGCAGCGTGTCTCCTGGCCGCACATCTGAACCGCCTGAGTATTTCCAAACCGAGGAGATGCTTTATTTCCATGACTGGGACAGTTAGAGATCAGTGGCCTCACAATTTTTTTTATTTTTTTTTTATCATGCACTGCTACTGCTTCCTCACACCTCCTTTTATTTTGAACTGGTTTTCCACCTACCAAAGCCAAGTGCGCTGAAAACTATCTCAGAAGAACCTTCCTAGATACTAAAATTTTGGGGAATGTGAGGGAGAAGGAAGGTGAAATGATTTCCACGGCATTCACAACAGCCCCTGCCAGGAACTCACAATTTCTGTACCTGCTCACACCAACAACTCAACAACTGTCCTTAGAGCCTCCTGCAGATGAGCCAGGGGTCTACTGTTGATAGAAAATTGTCACCAAAAGCTTCAAATACCATGTCTTTAAAAGAAACGATAATCCCAAAAAACGCTTTTCTGCCAAATTCTTCCCCAAAGGACAGAGCCTCTTCCAGGTTTCATTTCTTTTGTAATTCTGCGCAACATTCTAGTTATGCACTGGAAAAAGGATAGTTTAGACGTAATTAGGGAGGTACTGCAAGGCTGGGCAATGTCCTTTTGAAACAAGCATCAAAAGAAGAGCAGACCCAGCAAGGGGAAGAAGAGTCTGATCTTATTTACATCCAATACACCAGATGACAAGAGGAAAAAAAGCTTGAGAAGAGATTACTGAATGTCCCGTTCATCCTTATTTCAAAGGAGAAGCCAGAAACCAGCATAGCTGCAACAGAGCCCTAGGCTCAGCAGACACATCAATCTCAGCATTCTCTTATTTATGCATGTTATAATTTTACCCCGTCAATGCATCCGAGTTAAAATGACACTTTTATCAAGGATAAAAGCTGCTGCACAGCACCTGCCTGACCAGGTGCCCCTGTCACAACCACTGTGAAGGAAAAGTGGACAAACACAAGACAGCTCCTGTCAGGCAGGATCCCCATTATTTATCCCACAGGGGCTGTAAAGCTCCTCCCACGGGCAGGGTGGTCTCCCCACACCACTCTCCATCCCTCGCCACAAGAGGCACTGATCAAACGTGGAAAACTTTTTGAAACTTTGGTGTCTCATCCTCTAAACTGTCCCATGCACAACAGGGACTCTCCTCCTGCCCTTCTTCCCTTCCCCACCTCATCTGCTCTTCTTCTCAGCCACAGGACACTCCACACAGAGCTCTACGATGGAATGGAAGACGGTTTGGGTTTCATCACCACGTACCCTCCAGAGAGCAAACTGGACAAGCTTTGTCAGCGACACAGTTTTCCAATCAAAAAAGCAATTAAAACCTCATCATAGAATCATAGAATCATTGAGGTTGGAAGAGACACTTGGGATCATCGAGTCCAACCATCTACCCTACTCTACAAAGTCCTCCCCTACACCATATGCTTCAGTACCGCATCTAAACGTCCCGTCAAAGGCTTCATCCAGGGAGTTTTGAAAATTTGTATTTTAAAAGCTTCTTGACCTTTATGTGCCACTGCACGGGCATATCTTTGCCATGTACCCCAGTACAGCCCAGTACCCTGACAGGTCCATTCAAAATTCTCACGGGTGAACTGATTCACCCCCGGACTATGTAGAGGTGGTAACAAAGCCCACACATACAACTGATACATGATGTGATTTAGATACTTCCTGCAACACTGTTTATGGGTATCATTTAATTGCAATAAATTAAACCAACTCATCCTTTTAATTGACATATGATTAAACCGGTTATCCATTAGCAATCTAATAAGCACAGTGTAATACAGACTGAGAGTTATTTATTGTGAGTGTCATGTGCCAATCCAATTAATCATGGAATGATAACGTTCTATTAAATAAGCTTAAATTATACATCCTTTGCATAGATGCCTGGGAAATGTTAGTTACTGCATACATAAGTTATAACGCAGATGGCTGTTGCATAATAAAAAGCAACTGATCAGATTAAAACCACGTTTGGTTTTGTTGCCACCAACTCCAGAGCTTACAGAGACCAAACCTTTCTGAGCTTTATCTACCTTCCCAGATGTGTCTGATTATTTTAATCTCTGTCTCCTTGGGCAAAAAGACAAACTCGTCTTTTTTTGGGAAGTTTTGCTTTCAGATTCTTACAAATTGACCCAACAAGTTCTCTGGTTCCCCTGCATTACTTACATGAGTAGTCTGGTTTACAGACATTATCTACGTATTCGGTAAGAAACTTCTCTGGAGATTTGGAACTGGAAAAAAAAACCTATGTAACTCAGCTTTGCTTTTTATTTACAGGTTGAGAATTTTATTTGTCTTGTCTTTTTTTTTTAAAGAAAAAGAAAAGTCACCAATGTAAGGTTTCTTAGACAAATACAATTAAAAACATGGAGCAACTCCTCAAGCCCAAAGCTTCCTCAGAGACAAACAAGAATCAGATCAAATGCATTTAAAAAAAGAAAAAAAAAAAACAGGAAAGTTTTCAAATCCACTTGCTATAAGCAGAGAAACAGCACACAAGGGACAAGGGAGGCTGTTGCTCTCCCCCATTCATGCCAACTGTTTGTTAGTGGGTTAGTCCACAGAGAAATCAGCCAAGAAAAGCAGATTTAGCACCTCAAGAAATCCAGAACTGCACCAGATCTCGGAGGTCAGAGGTAAGAAATAACAAGGGATTTAAATGTTTGTGTTTCATGTCTTACCCTTATCCCATTCATAATTATTTATAGAGGAAAGAAAGGCATCCACATTTAAGTATCTGACATTAGCATAAAACTATCTTGATCTTTAAAGCAGGCAGATGAGAGGTTGCCAATGTTACAACTCAAATGCTCGCATTGACCTCCAGAAGACACTACCAGAAGAGACCACTGCACAGTTCCAACACTCCTCCTGCTCCCTGACCACTAGAATTTCCTCAAAACTAAGTTTATTTGTCCAGATCTTGTTTTCCCTTCCAATACTCCTCCTGCTCCCTGACCACTAGAATTTCCTCAAAACTAAGTTTATTTGTCCAGATCTTGTTTTCAGTCTCTCTGCCAAGCAGTAAAACCTCAATAAAACCTTTTGTTGCCAGTGCTATCTCTGTGGCTGAAACAACACTTATAGCAGCTTCTAACCCACAGCCAGCATTGCTCTTTGCCAGACAGGGGCAACAGAAAAGGGAAAGATACCAAAAAATCAAAAATATATGCAACAGGGAGCCGGATTATTCCAAAAAAAAACCAAACCCCAAACCCCCAAGCAAGAGACGCACAAACAACAAAAAAGCCCCTTATACAATCTCTCCTCCTCTATCTTCAGCTAAAGCAAAGGGGTTCTAAATATAAGAAAACTACTAGGGCGTTTTCCGTGGAGCACTTCGTACTTCACTCCTAAAATTTAATAACTG